GTTGAAACTAAATCCTTATATGTTTTGTAGAAATTACTAGGTAAACCGCTAGCAGTTTTTAAGCTACTACTTTTGGGGGTATACACGAAAAAACATGGTTTTAAGAAACTTACAATACCAGATGACGCGAGAGAGAACGATGAAGAAAAAATGGATATGGAGGACAATGATGATACATGAAATTTATATGTATTGTAGTTTAAGAAAAAAATGTATATATGACTTTATACATAAATATATTTCCTTATTTGTAATTACTTTATTTAAAACGCCAACAGCAAATTTTATGTCATGAAATTGTATTTAAATGCTTAAAATGTAACAAATGAGTACGGAATAATTGGTAATTTAAACATGTCAAAATTTTTAGTGTTTTAAATAAAATAATTTTAGGAAATATAAATAAACAAATATATATAAACAAAATTTATATTAAATAAAATATGCAAATACTTGCTTTAACTCTATTTTGGATGATTGGTATATTATGGGTGAGTAAAATTTAATGTATATGTAAGTTGTCTAAATTTTTATCACATGCTATGTCGCAATTTTTTGTACATAATTTCATTTATCATTTCAAACAATATTTTTAGGGCATATATCATTGGTATATAATTGAATCTTCAAAAAAAGCCGATAATAATATAATACCCAAAATAGTTTCTGATTTTGAATCTGATAGGAGGCACAGTACATCTTCTATCGAATCTTTAGAAATTTTAGAGCATTCAGATAATGAAAGTACTAGAAATAGAAGAAAAAATGTGCAAAAATTAACACATGAGGTAATACATAATTGTTAAAGTGAACACTTAAATATTTGTGTTTGAAGAATTCTGAATGTACAGCGAACATTTGTGGAACATAAATTATATATACATATATATATATATACATACACACATATATATATAAATTACGAACGTTATAAATATTTATACGAAATTTATGAAATATTAAATATTTCAGAATAAAACTTGTTGGCCTAATAAAACATCATTAAAGAGAAGATTCTACAAATAATCATAATATTATGCTCTACGTATAAAACACTTTTATGGCAACAGTATAAAAAATGATAATAAAAAAAATATAATTTAACATAAATAAAAATATTCCAATTTTTAAATCATAAAATACATCGTTATATGATTAATAGAATTCTTATAACATAGTTACATTTATAGTGTGACGAAATTACCAGTAGCATTGATATTTTCACAAAGTAATCATTTTCATCATTTTTATTATTTATGATTCCAAAGGATACAGGTTATACATTTATTATATATATAGAAGTTGAGAGATGCTAATACTGCTAAAAGATAAGAATTAAGTAAACTAAAAACAGGTTGCATTACGATGAGATCATCTTACAGGTAATGTGTAATACTATTACTAACACATAAAACTTAATAGACATATGTCATCTTGTGCAACATAAATTTTTAATATTATTCCATAATAATTTTTATGCATTATCCCCATTTGTAAAAATTAGATTATTCAATAGAAAGATGTGTCTTATAATTATAATTATTTCCAGTTTATTCAATCCTAGTTATTAGAAAAAATTTTTACTTATTAGAAAATGAAAAATTCTTTTTATTATTACGAAGAATAATTATACCATGACAACATATAAACAAATTATAAAAAGTAATAAAAAAATTATAAACAAACTTTGTCTAAATATATTTGTACCAAGAATAATGCTTTTAACAAAATAGATAAATACTACAAAATAATATTAAATAGTTATAAATTTACAATGTAACATTACATATTACATCATATAAGTTAATTTAAAGTCTGTTCTAAATCAACAATACAAAATATATACAGTATTATTTTTTGTCATAAATTCCTCTGTCATTCTGTGCCATTATATTTGTCTAAATCAAAATATTTTTTTAATTATTCGTGCTTTGTTCTGCAATTTTCCTGTCTCACTGTCCTATAATGAATACATTATCGTAATAACAGATATAATCTATTGTGAATATAACTCTATCCTCTTTGGTTGGATACAGTTGTACTTTTGTTATTTCAATTATATGACTCAAGAAGGACAAGTAGTGAATCCGTCAACATTATTTTTACGTGATGTTAACCAAACTAAAACAATGATAACTTAATCTATACGTTAAAAATATTTTAGGTAACATATGAAAGAACAAAAGTTGATAGAATGTATTTGATTAAAGAACAACCATGATTGAGAAGAGAATAATTAAATAAAAATTAGATTATGTACAAATTACGGAATATAGAATAGATTCGTACTTTATATATACTACTTTAACGTAAATTTTCAAAAGAAATCCATGTTTATACACGTTATATACTTCATAATCCCTACTTTGATCAGAATATCACAATGTAAATGATAATATCATTTTGAGGATATGGCAATTTCACAGCACGCTAACTTAATCGAGATCTTATACAAAAATAAATTATAGCTCTCTGAAATTATAACTATTTAAAATAGGGAACGTAAGCGGTAAACACTTAATTATCCGTCTGCTAATGCGCCTACTCTTAAGTCCTAAAAGAATATCTTACTGTCGATTAGAGACTAAGAGAAATCCCAACGCATTTCAATGTAGAAAATTGACGACATACGTGGACAATTATATACTCGTATAAAACTTGTACGTGTGCAGCAACAAGCGAGGTTCTCTAGCAGGAACCACAAATACATAAACGATTCGCGCTAGGTGACAAAGATTAAGAAACTCTTAATTAACAATTCCCAAAGAGTATATTCTACGCCCACTCTAACAAAAAAATGTCATTTAGAACAGATTGCAGACTCCTGAAGTGCGTGATACAATATAACTCGCAGTTCATTACACCATAAAGCACGCAGCTATAATGTCTAGTTTCTAGGCACGTTGTGTACATTGGCTAGTGTGATTAAATTCGATTGAGATTGTAGAATATGTCTGGTATTATTTAACGCAAAGAACTTTTGTTATTTTAGTATAACGAAGCTGGAATGTTTTGGCGTGTATCTCGATGAAATTTATTGTTCGAGGAGAATATCATATATATGTAATAAAACTTGGTCTCATTAACTTATTTTTATATATAAATGATACAAACGTGTACATGTATATATAAAAATTAAATATTAGAATTTTATAATATGTATTATATGTGTATATATATATATATATATATATATATATATGTATATATTATATATATGTTTATACATATATAGCGATCTCTCTTCTGGATCTTTCCACAAATTATTTAATATTTAAACAAATCCAATATGAAAAAAAGCGTTAAATACTCACATTAACTTTTCCTGATGTATTACATTAGACAATCACACCAGTCAAAGTCACTACGATCAACGCACACAGTATAAAAGTTAGTTAAATATGATAATCATCGTTCATAGTTCAAGCAAATGACGGTTATAGAACAAAGATAGTTTCTTAGGTAATTAGAGCTTGAGTATAAAGCTCCTCGAGTTTCGGTACTTCAGGTATCGGATCTCGCCAGTACGCAAAATTACTAAATTCATCGGTTGCGTCTTCTCGCCGTGCTGGAAATACTTGGTCAACGATAAAGCTCATGTTCGAATATCTGTAATCAGAGAATAAACAAAAATTGCAAAGCACGCATCAAAACAAGCTCGTATCCTTGTGCCATCAGTATGGCTGAAAAATGAATGTTTAATTGCCATCTATAATATAACTCGTTTACAAATGAATTCATACGTGAAATAAAGAAATATAAATGAATTTTATCAATCTCAATCTTTTTAACATATTCTATTAATGTATGAAATAAATTTGTAGCAATATGTGTGTATATGTATACACATTAAGTAAGTTGGATTAGAATATAAAGTTCATACAACACAAGAAATCCAGATTAGATTGATGAGAAACATATAATAAGCATATAATAAATTGAGTAGAAAAACCACACGGACAAGAAAATCGTCATGTTACAAATTATGATCAATTAAAAAAAATATTATGTAAAAAAAATTGATATAAATAATGAGAGCGTATTTATATACAGTTTACAAGTCATAATTATTTTATAAGAATCATTAATATCATGTTTGAATGGCAGAATCAGTTTATGCAAGAGCGATCGTGAAGTGCTTGGTTGAAAAATTATGAGCGATAAGCAAATAAAAAAATAAAATGAATTTGACAGGCGCGATGAATATTTCCTTCACTTATACATTCACGACAATGTCTGAAAACAGTTATGAGTGACAAATTATATTAATACTATCCCTTCCTCATTATTGCCCGAAATAAGTGGAAAATGTACCAAAATATTCCCAATGACGATGTTAGGATGGCTAGAAATAAAAGCATATCAAGCGATGATAAAAAAGCAAATGTGTACAAAACAAGTGCTTACCCTATAAATCATAAGAAGATAGAAGTTGTCGCGCACAACCAAATATGTTCCAAAATATAAGCAAATTGTGATTACATTTAACATATGCAATTTAAATATTTATAATTGGAAACGAATTTCCCTGATTGTTTGTTATATCGTGTGTTCTCAGTGTTCTCACAGCATATATAAAATAAACAAAATTAAAACATATTATATGCTGTATTACGTCAATTATTCAAATATAATGCAATTATGTATGGCAATATCCCAAACATAATTCAACAATGCATTAATGCCGGATATGTCATTGGCATATTAATATATAATACTTCAATCTAATTAATTTCAATATAATTAATTTAATATCAATAATTTATTAAAATTTATGGTTGTGCTATCAGTAGATGTTTGGCATAGGTTGTGGCGGGAACACGTCATTGACGATATTGCACTGACGCGCATAACTGTAATCACAGAAATATCCGACCTATCAACACTCTCTGAAAATTTGTATTTCTATTCTTTTTTTTCAACCAATAACTTCATTTTTGACGCTCAAATCCTTTCACAGTTTAGTAGGAAAGGCGGCATCCCATTTATTAACAATTTTAAACCATTAGTATATTTAAAAGAAATAATTTTGAACATAAAAGCTGTAAGTATTAAACATAAAAATTAGTAAGTATTAAACACAAAAATTAATTAAGACAGGCAATAATATTAAATGCTATTATAGCCATACAAATTGTAATTAGCTGCTACTATTAGTTACATATCCCATCTGGAAATAATACGACTGCTTTAAGATTAGTATACTTACATTACTCGAGACTAAAACTTACAGCACACGACATTTTTTTCTGTTGAATTGTTTGCGTTTTAATAAATTACTAGAAATTATTAGAAATTCTACGTTTCTATGTAATGCAGTTCTAGTAATTT